GAATTTATTATTCATACCCCGCCCATCTGGCAGGGTTTCCCCAGCCACTGTGGGCGGCTTCCAACAAAGATTAAAAATACAATAAACAGCAGTCATTAAAAACTTCCCTAAACAGGGCTGCCTTCAGATGTCATCTAAACGATTGATAGCTATAATAACTATAGTTATTTATTTCCTTGACATCTGATGGGAGGGCGTTCCACTGGGCAGGTGCCACTACTGAGAAGGCCCTCTGCCTGGTTCCCTGTTGACCTGGCGTCTCTCAGTGAGGGAACCGCCAGAAGATCTCAGCGCTAGATCTCAGTGTCTGGGCAGAACAATGGGGGTGGAGACGCTCCTTCAGGTATACTGGGCCGAGGCCGTTTAGGGCTTTCAGGGTGAACACCAACACAGCTGCCCCATTCAGGACCAGGGAATCCCCCACACCTGCCCGCCCCCTGTCTCCCAAGAACAGTACTTCTGTCGTGAAGTCAATCCTCAATATTGCAAATGTTGAAATATCGTACGTGCAGGAACCCGGGAAACAAGGCAGCAACAAGAGGAAACCTTGCGTGGAGTGTGGGAAACCTATTTTGGGGGAAATTGCGTGGAATAGGGAAAATCAATAAAAAGGATTTGGCAAAAACCGACAACACCCCAAACCACTTCTTGGTTGTCTCTGATTGGCGTTGGAAAGACAGAGAGGGAGGTCTTGCCTCCGGTAACGCTGGAATCGAATTCCCCCCCTCCCTCTGGCCAGATCCAGAAGGGCTCTCCTTGCGTTCCCCTGGGTGGGGAGGAAGGGGCAACGCTTCTACCTTTGGCGGCTTCGATGAGGACCCTCAGTCCGCCGTGCTCTGTCACGATCATCTTGGCGTGCTCGTGGGCGTGGCCAAAGGGCACCCGGATATCGTCGTCGAAAGTCATGAAGCGCAGCCCTGCGCAGGCCTCCCGGACCACATCGGCCCGGTCCCCATGGCGGACAACGGCCCCGACCAGCAGGGAGAGGACGCCGCCTTTCACCAGGTCCTGCCGGTTCTGCTCGTGCTTGAGGGACGCCTGCCGGACGCAGCGGATCGTGGCCAAGGTCAGGTCGCCATCGTCCTGCCGCTCCCGCAAGACCCGCAGAAGCAGCTCCTGCCCGGGGGCATCGAGGAAGTCGGGCTGGCCGTCCAGGAGGGCGGAGAGGGCGCGGAGGGCTTTGAGGAGGGAGCAGCCTTCCTCACAAGCCAGGCGGCAGGCGGCCAGCACGGCAGGATAAGCGCCCTTCTGCCCCGCCAAGTAGCGGACGGCCATCTCCTGCCGGCACTGCTCCGCAAAGCTCACCAGCAGCTCGTCCACCGCGCCCGAGTCGCCATCAGCAACTGCCTTCTGCAAGGAGTCCAGCGTCTGCGGAAGGAAAGGATCGAGTAGGGCTGGGCAATAGCTCGTTTTCAACATCGCGGGAAATCGCCAGCTACGCATTGCGACACACCAGGAGATCACAAAGGCTGATCTAAGGATGGGGCTGGTGTTTAACATTGCGATACCATTTTGCACCTGGCTAGGTGAAGATGCCTGGGTGCCAGGAAGGCGCCTGGCGTCTCCCCCACCTGGAGGTGCCTGCCTGGGGATCCTTGGGTTTGGACTGTTTTCACACACACACACACCCCATCCTGTAGAACTCCATTTTATCGGCACAATCAGAATGAATTTCAGGAACCCAAAAGCCCTATTAGAAAATATGACCTTCGAGCCGTCTGGCCCCCAAATGGCAAGTAGGCATTCCACTCTGCCGACCGTAACCCTGGTTTAAGGAGCCGTTTGACGCCCAGCTTATATATTTGACCTTCTGATGCTTAGGACCCTAGGGACCTGCTTAACACTGAGTCGGACCACTGAGCTCAGTAGTACAGAACAGGTGCTGCCCACCCACTGAGCTGTGCTCCTTTCCTAAGAAATAAACCAAGATTCTAGTGCTCATGGTTTTGATTAAAGCCCTGGTTTAAATAGGAATACAGTCATACCTCGTGTTGCGTTCCGCTCTTCTTACGGACTTCCAGCTTACGAATGTGGCAAACCCAGAAGTGTTTACTTCCGGGTTCGCCACCCGTGCATGCGCAGAAGAGGCGCTCTAGTTGCGGACTTTTTGGGGTGCAAACGTCACCCTGAAACGGATTAAGTCCACCACTAGAGGTACCACTGTAGAGGGAACATTCCCAGCCCAACTTCAGGATGCCCGGGATTCAGCCTGAGGCCCTTGAGGTGCCCCTGGGCCACGGCCCCTTCCCTAAGCGACCCCTGGGGCTTTCCTCCTTTCTTGGGCGGCCCCAGGCACCCTTCTCACCTGCAAAACAGCATGCTGTGGCTCTTCCCCATCCACAGAGGCGGAGTTGGGGGCTGTCTTCACTATGTTGCTTAAGTCAACACCTGGAGAAAAGACACGGAGCAGTGGGGGCAATGAGTAGGGGTCCTCAGTAGGGATTCGTAGAACAGCAGAGAAGGCTGTGCCATCTCAGGTCTACCCAGCCAGTTAAAAACATCTCTTCGCAAAAACCACACCTTGAGACTCGAACTGCTGGACGGCTTCGATCACGGCCTCTTCCGGATCCATGCCAAGGTCGCTGATGTTCTCCTGCACAACATCGTCAAACGTCTCCTGGGTGATCCGCTTGGCCGCCATTCCGACCTGCGGGACAAGAGTTTGACAGCTGGAAGGGACCCCGAGGGACATCTAGTCCAACCCCCTGAAATGCAGGAATCTCTCCTCAAGCATCCATGACAGACGGCCGGCCGCCCAACCTCTGCTTCCAAACCTCCAAGGAAGGAGCGTCCACAAGAGAACGGTTTACACATGGTGGTGTGTGTTATTTTTTAAAAAGAAAGATACTGTATAGGATCCCCAAAGAAAAGGGAGGAGCGTAGCTGAGGGTTTTAGAGCACCCAATTTGCCTGCAGACAAGCTCAGCTTCAGTCCCCGATGAGCACTCCGTGGGCCGTGAGAGATATTGGCTGAAACTCTGGAGAGCCACCGCTGGTCAGCGTATACAATACTGAGCTAGACTGACCAATGGTCAACTGCAGAACAAGGCGGTCACTTATGCCCCTGTCAGTGCTAGAAACTCAGATATATAAGCTAGGTGCCAAATGGGTCCTTAAACCAAGGCTGCAGTCGCTAAAGAGTTTAAAGAGGTCGGAACAGGCCAGTAGATGTGTGGACTGTCCCTGGATCAGGGGACTTTTCTTCTTTAAGTTCTCAAAGCTCTTAACCTCGCTCAGGGTTGTCCTCTGAACTAGCCAGATGTTTAACTGAAAAACAATCACTTTAGAGCCGTCTTGCCCCAAAATGGCAACTAGACATTCTGTTTATTTTAAAAATAGATTTATATCCCGATTTTTAACCCAAAGAGCTCATTGTGACATACAAACGTCTCCCCGCCCCTTCCCTTTTTATCATCACATCAGCCCTATCAGGTAGGTTAGGATGAGAGAAAGACTGGCCCAAGGTAATTCCGTGAGCTTCATGGCCAAGTGCAGATTTCAAACCTGGTCTTTCTGGTTCTGGTTTTGGCAGCTGTAACCTCGGTTTAAGGTGCCATTTGGTGGTTAGCTTATATGTCTGAGTTTCTACCACTGCTTGGAAGAGTGTCCAATGGAACGCAGGGGGGTCTTTTCTGCTGAGTGATCAGTTTCTGATTGTGCATGAACAAGACATTCTTTCATGCAGAAAGCGGGAAGGATAATCAGCACCACAGATCTGAGAAATACTGTAAAATGCTCCCTTTCCAAATACTGCATCCTGCCTGAATATCCCCTATGAATTTCCTTTTCAGAAGATCTGCAGCCTGAGGTTTTTCAGACATTTTAAAAAGCTGATCCGTGTTCCCCTTGCTGCTAATAGAAGGTTTTATCGTGCTGTATGTGCTCCCATAGCTCTGGAAGGGCATTTTAAAATGTAGCCTGCTAGGCCATGTTGACTATTGTTCGTTGTTTTATGATATTTGGATTATTTTGCATTAATTTTATTTTTAAAGATCTGTCGGTCTCTGGAAGATTTGCAATGACGATTAAATAAATTATTTTTAAAAAGTCAAGGTCAGGGCTCAGGTGTGTGTGAAATAACCACACAGAAGGATTGATCAGAATGCCTCCTTTTAGTTTATTATTATATTTAGTTTATTATAAACGTCAGTCTAGAGTGACTGGCAGCAGGCACCCAGTCTTAGAAACTGGACTGAAAGCTGGGCTCAAAGGTGGTGAGATAACCAGCTGCTTCCCCAAACCCCAGGAGCTGAGATGCCTCCAAGGGCTCAAATATTATTACATATTCTCATTATGATCGTTATTTGGTTACGACCCCCGAAGCCCAACATGAATATCAGCACGCAGCATGAAAAGCAGTCTCAAGCCCTCACGACCCCCTCCTCCTCCTCCAGCCCTGGGAGGCAGCTGTGCCTCTGAGCACACACAGAGTGCAGGCCAGCCCAGCCTACCTCCTGACACCCACCACCAAGGGCCTCCGCCCCTGACTGGGGTGGGGGACACCGGGGCTCTGAGCATGTGCAGAGCGCAACCTCCCCCCCCCCCAGATTCTATTATTGCATCACTTCACCTGGTGTGTCCCTCGGCGCTCGCCGTCCCGTCAAAGACTCCGCATTGGCCGCGAGGGTCGTTACCGCGGCTGGCGCTGCATAAGTTTGTCTCCACGCGGCTGCCGTCCGCGAAAGGCTGAAGCCGCCACAGGCAGCGCGTGCGCAGAGCGCAACCGACCCACCCCTTAACGGCTAGCTCAACGGCGCTGCGCGTGCGCCTCGAGGCGCTAGTGTACTGCGCAGGCGCCTGCCCATCGCCCCGCCGCTGGCCGTGAGGAAACCCGAACAACGGATGGCGTCGAGCTCGCTCAGCCTTCCGTCAGGAATGGACCCATTAGCCTCTAATCCGCCGCAGAGGCCGCTCGTCCCCCTCGACCCAGGCGGGAGGCCTCCTTCCGTTTACTACGCACCTTACTGCGCCTGCGCGGAAAGCGCCCCCGGCCTCCGCGACGGCAGGAAGGCTCGGCGCGTGCGCAGAGAAGCCGGGAGAGGAAACTGGGCCTTGTGCGCATGCGCCAGATGGAGAGCGCCCCGATTGAAAGTGCGAGGAAGAGGCTGGTAAGTTGGCAACCCCCGAAAAGAAGAGTTCCCAGCCCTAGGCTGTTTCTTGCTGTCGCATATTGTTACTTTCATAGGTTAAATATTGTCACTTTCTAAAATTGATTTAGGAAACCGTGTTTTAGAATTGCCCTGATGGCGTTGCTCAAGGGTGGGACATGGTTTGTTTGGATTAAACTGATAAAACCTTGTATTTTCCATATGGAAAAGTTTAATTAAAAGCATTTGAAAAAATAAATAAATAAAATAAACTGATAAAACCTTGTAGAGGGGTACCTCTGGATACAAACGGGATCCGTTCCGGAGCCCCATTCGCATCCAGAAGCCGACGCAACCCGGGTCTGTGCGTCTGCATGTGTCGCGATTAGGCACTTCGTTTTGAGTGTCTGCGCATGCGCAAGCAGCGAAACCCAGAATTGACGCGCTCCGTTACTTCCGGGTCACTGCGGAGGGCAACCCGAAAATATTCATCCCGAGGTATGACTGTGCTGGGAGGAGGCAGGCAGGGAGGGCTTTTTTATTTTGGAGGGGAGATGATAGAATATACTTGGTGTTGCTATAGACATGTCTGTAGGTGCCAGTCACCTGTGGTGTTTTAGGGGAGCGACAGTCTCGGGGGGGAGAGACATGTCGTGCTCCTTCTGGGGTCGTGTGTCCACCTTTGGTCCCCACCCTGCACTCCGCTCTCATCTGCGGCTCCTGGAAGCATTCAGCAGGCGACAGTGGCCACAATCCTGGGACCGGCTTCGACTGGCCGGCTAAAGCAGCTGAGGGGAGCCGATGGGTTTTTTACCATATTGGTAACAAACACCTTTTAAAAAACAGAGAAAGTGCTGCTTCCTTCCAAAACGGTGCCTGGAATGAGAGGCCTGCTAGGCCAGGTGTGATCTCCTTGAACACCAGTGGGAATGTGCCCAGTTGGGGGTCCCACACTTTAAAGGAGGGTAGGGACAAACTGGAACGGGTGGGGAACAGTCCGATGAAGAAAGGTTGGAAGGGAGTGGACGTGTTTAGCCTGGCCGGGGTAAAAGATGCCCCATTTGCGGGCAGAAGTCCTCCGCCCACGTGACCCTGCATCTACAAGGTTAACACAAGGCTGCCCGGTTGGTGGTAACCCAAGACAAGGCAGTGGCTTCCCGTTTGTGAGATGCCCTCACTTGTGAGGTGCATCCGTCTCCCTCGCTATTAGCTTCTATGAGAAATTTAAAGGTATCCCTGTTTAAACAAGGTATTTGGGAGTTGAAAGCCCTGTCCCTGGCAATTCTGAAGTTGTTTGGAGAGCCGCTGATTGCTTTTAGGATTTGTTACCTGTTTTTAGAATAATTTTAATTTGGTGGCTTTTATGTTTTGTTATTGAAGTTTCAGTGGATATCGGCGACTCCAAGGATGTGTGCAGGAGGAGCCCAAATGGGAAGAAACCCCTTGACCCCCAGAGAGACGCTGACTCGGACCGTCCCTGAGCTTAGACCATGAAACCTACAAGAGCGACACCTTGGGGGACTCTGGATACCTCAAGGAGGTGTGTGGCGGACAGAGGAGGAGGGAAGCCTTGCAGGGTCAGGCCAGGTTGCAGGGGATTCTGGGAAGTCTCTCCCTCTTCCCAGCACTGATGGTGAATTGTTTTCTTTTCTCACAGGTCAGATCAGCGAAGGAAAGTGGGAAAAAGAATCCCCAGCGGGGGTCATCTGCTCGGAGCCGCACCCCCGTCAAGGAGACTCCTGGTACCCCATCAGAGCCCCACGAGACTTACTTGTGTGGCGGCGGCAAGGACATGCCCCTGGGCGACCATCAGAGCCCTGCACGACCCCCTCACGCCTCACTCAGTTCCCCCGTCTCCGCCTGCCCAGCGGCCTCGGTTCTGCTTGCGCCCCTCTGCTGGTACTGGTGCTTGGTTGCACTGGTGGCGGTGCTTTTTTGAAAACCCAGTGGCTGCTGGTGCTGGGGTAGTGGCAGGGGAAGTAGTGGTGTTTCCTCGTCCTCAAATCCACCGCCTCACCCGCATGCTGAGCAGCCTCCTCTCTGATTGTGCCGTGCTGGGTTCCAGTGGTGGCGCAGGTGGCGGTGCTTTTTGGAAAACCCGGTGGCTGCTGGTGCTGGGGTAGTGGCAGGGGAAGTAGTGGTGTTTCCTCGTCCTCAAAGTGCCTCTGGGTGCATGCAGCTGCTGTGTTGGCGAATCCACTGCCTCAACTGCGTGCAGAGCAGCCTCCTCTCTGCTTGCGCCCTGCTGCTGCTGGTTCTGGGTTCCAGTGGTGGCGCAGGTGGTGGCACTTTTTTAAAGGCCTTTTGGACACAGGCGATGAGGGAACGCAGGCCAAGGCACGAGGGGGTCCTGGGACTCCTTTTCCCGCTTTCCATTTCTAGCCTGACAATTCACCTCCAGATTCTGGGAAACAGCCATGATCATTAATCAGTCTATCGATTAATTTAATCTGTATGCCGTCCTTCCTCTGAAGCTCTCAGGGAGGCTTGCAGCATAAAAAGACAAAATAAAAACACAGCATACACATTAAAAACAAGAACGAACTCATAAGCCAACCTCCCAATCCACAAGCATGTTTAAAAGGCCATGCATTGTTTAATTAGCCAAAGGCCTGGTTCTAGGGCAGAAAGGCCACTACCATTGTGCTACGAGCCCTGCTGGGCACCTCTCAGAATCTGAACCCACCCCGCACCCTACCTGCTTCGCATCTCCAGCAGCCTCCAGGCTGTCAGAACAAACATTGCTGGCTCCCGCCTCCTTTCTGGGCTGGGCAGAGAGTGCTGGTCCTGCTCATCTGACCTTCAAAGATGTTTCTTCTTTTTTTTTGCACTTCCATGCCATGATAGGCGAGAGAGGGCTGCTGTGGGGTCACCGGCCCGCAGGAGAGGTACTCCTCCTTGTTCACCTGGAAACGCATGCAAGCAGATAACTTACAAGATAAATACTGAACCAAAAGCAACCTAAGAAAAATAACTTTTTTTTTTAATGACTGGATAAACCACTCATTCAATTGTATCACCTCTTGACTGATTGCTTGGAGGAGTTCCAGATAAATATATAGATGATAATATTTATTATTATCATCTATATACTTAGACATATTTCTGGACATCTTTTTGAGGCAATTTTGTGCCCCACCCCTCACCTGCGCCCCTGGCGGGGGCCCATCTCACCACCCCCTAGCTTGGGCCCTGCCTGGACCATAGAGAAACCCTCTCCATAAAACTATAGGGATCTCTAAATCAGGCCTTCCTCCTCCACCCCCTGGATCACTGGGAAACACTTCCCCTGCCACACAAGGTCACAACATACCTCCGGATTTTCCTGGGTTTCCCTGCACCGCTGGGCTGCTGCTGGTTCCCCAAACCACGGCCCTGCAAAGGAAGAAGGACATTGTACTCTCTAGGGGGGCAGAACAAGCACCCCTGCCAGGCTGCCCATGCCCACGTCACCACAGGCTGCCTACCTGCTCCTGCCTGGGCGCCTGACCCCTGGCTTGGAAGGAGGGGAGCAAGGGGCTGGGGCGAGACGGGACTGCAACCCCCCAACCCAGCCCTGTTTCACGCAGGTCAGCGCCATGACCTCCCTGTAAATGTGGGGAATGGATTCCCCATGGAATTAACTTACCACAATCTCCAGAGGTTGATTCACTCCAGCCTCCTTCATCGTTTGGCGTCTCAGGAGCCTTTTTTGTCCTAGGAGACAGAAAGGAAAATAAAAAACAGAGGAAGAGGTTACAGGTGGGAAAATGTCCGGGAATCCCAAAGTCTAAACTCAGAGACCTAGACTCAGGATCCAGCCTGCACCTCAGCCTTTCCCTGTTCCCTCCATGTGCCCTATTAGAGATTGTAAGCCCCTCGGGGCAGGACCCTTTCGATGAAGGGTCATGTGCAGCGATGGCGCAAAGAAATAATTCAGAAGTAATTTCACCAGGCTCCTCCCCGTGCAAGCTGAAGCCTGCTAGGCGCCTTTCCTGAATACTCCAAAGCCAAGCCCTGGCTCCATGGCTCACCTGAATTAATGGAATCCTCTTGCCTCCAAGTTTGGAGAGAGCCCCTTCTTTCGGCATTGAACGGCCACATGCTCAGAGCGATGGTGGCTGTATCCAGCTCAGCTTCAGCCCCTCCCCTCGTGCCCCCTTCTAGAACCCACCGCTCTCCACCGACTCACCTGCCCCCCCCCTCAAACTCCCTTTCCCCATGGAATTAACTTACCACAATCTCCAATGTTTCTTTCAGTGGCACACCAGCCTCCTTCATGGTTTGCCGTCTCAGCAGCCTTTTATGTCCTAGGAGACAGAAAGGAAAATAAAAAAGGAAGAGGTTACATGGCTCCATGGCTCACCTGAATAAAGGGAATCCTCCTGCTGCCAAGTTGCACATGCTCAGAGCCATGGCGGCTGTGTCCAGCTCAGCTTCAGCCCCCCCCCCGGGCCCCCTTCTAGAACCCACAGCTCTCAACCGACTCTCACCTGCCCCCCTTCAAGCTCCCTTTCCAAGCCTCCCTCCATCTTCCGTCTCCACCAGAATTCCACTCTCTCTCTTCCCCCTCCCTCCCTGCTTGACATTCCCTTTGGAATTGTAATAGCATCACCTCACAATAATACTATTGCCACTCATCTCCTCTAGGCCTCCTACCTGGAGAATCCATCTTTCTCTACCAACTCTCACTGTCATCTGACAGGCATCCCCCCTTGCAGGGCATTATAAGGCTTGCTTGCAAAGCAGCACTTTGTGACATCAGCTGGCAAACGGGCCAGGCTGCTGGGTTGTCCGGCAGCTGAATGAAGAAAAATAAAACCAGACTTGCGGAGGCGAGGGAGGGCTGCTGTGGGGTCCCTGGCCCTCAGGAGGGGTACACCTCCTGTTCAGCAGGAAACGCATGCAAACAATAACTTTCAAGATAAATACTGAACCAAAAGCAACCTAAGAGAATGGTTTTTTTTTAATGACTGGATAAACCACTCATTCAATTGTATCACCACTTGACTGAATTTGTGTTTACCTCCTGCCCTTCCAAGCCACTACAATGGCCCTACGAGCCCTGCTGGGCACCTCTCAGAATCCGAACTCACCCCGCACCCTTCCTCCTTCCTTCTCCATCATCCTTCTTGCTGTTGCAGCACACATTCAGGGCTCCTGTCTCCTCCTAGACTACATTCAGAGATGAAAAAGCAACAGAGCGTAAGATCCTCCTTTTGCTGCAAAATAACTGTTTATGAATACAGATTCAAGTCCCAGAAAGTGCCTGCAAAAACAAATAGCTTTTTCCTTTGGAAATAAAAACAAAACAAAACTACACAATATTTTACGAAAGGAAGAGGATTCACTCCAGGCTCACAGGCTCCACTGAGAGGCCCTATTTCACGGATGCTTTTGTGGAGATTCCTGCATTGCAGGGGGGTTGGACTAGTTGACTCTTCCAATTCTATGATTCTGTGTAGTTCCTGCTACATATGAAATGGTTTGGTATTTTTACAGGGGAAATCGGATCAGTTGTAGAAGGGTTAGGCCAGAGACCGAGGGCCCAAACTGCAACCCAAAACCCACTTATTTCTCGCAAAGTGCCAACCTGGAAGTTTAACCTGTATATCAGTTTTTCTGTGTGTTTCACGCTTCTTCTGTATGACTGCTGTTGTGATAAATAATCCTTCATAAGAGTTATTGCCTTACATTCTTCATTAAAATTATCTTGCCATTGATATATAATTTTATGGTATAAGGCAGTGTTTTTTTTCTAAAAAATGTTTAGGGGTACTCTCATTTTGACACAAGAAAATCACCACGGGGGGGGGGGGGATACAGTTCAACGCGCCGCCCCGACCACCCCAGCCTGCTCCTGCTTGCAGGCAAGTAGGAGTGGGATGGAGTTGCAACCTTTTTGAGCCGTGGGCCGGTCCACTGTCCCTAGGCCTTGTGGTGGGCCGGAGTATTGGGGGCGGGGATTAATGAATTCCTATGCACACTGCACATATTGTATTTGTAGTTGACTTTGAACAGACTTTTAAGTCTGATTTTTGTAAATAATAGACAAAATGATAAACACTGTAATCATTCAAATGCTTGATATTGCCAGCTCTGCTTCAAAAACTTCACGGTTTTCACCTCTCACCTTTTAAAAACAAAGAGCAAAGCTGGGCTGAATTTCAGCTCATCACATGCTTGCAGACACATGGCCCTCCACACAGCCACAAATTGGGAGAGTTGAAAGGGACCCTGGGGTCATCTAGTCCAACCCTAAAACACAGGGTTCTTAGCAAGATTTGTACTACCAGAGAGACACACACATACTTATGTACACAGACACAACTGGGGAAGAGACCACAAGCCATGCTCCTATCATGTATCATGTACTAAGGAAGAGGAAAATAAAAGTACCCAACTTTATACAGAACCCTTTTAGCAGATCTTGAAGCTAGTTTGAGTGAGTTTACTTCCTTAGACTAAAGAGTGCAAGTTCCTAGAGAAATGATCTTTAAAGGAAGATTGAAGTGAACATTTTTCCTAATATAGGGAGAGGATCTCTTATAAAGCATAGTTAAAACAGCCATAGATTTGATTTAAAAGTTAAAACAGCCATAGATTTGATTTAAAAGGAATTCAAAAGTGAACAATTTTTCCTAAACTTGCAGAGGAATACAGTGGTGCCTCGCAAGACGAAAATCCGTTCCGCGAGTCTCTTCGTCTTGCGGTTTTTTCGTCTTGCGAAGTGCGGCTTAGCGTCTATTAATGGCTTAGCGGCTTTAAGAAAAAGGAAACAAACTCGCAAGACGTTTCGTCTTGCAAAGGAAGCCCATAGGGAAATTCGTCTTGCGGAACAACTCAAAAAACGGAAAACCCTTTCGTCTAGCGAGTTTTTCGTCTTGCAGGGGCACCACTGTAGTAAGCCTAATCTATGCCCCCCCCTGCAGTTTCCTTTAAAGGAAGCTTACTCGGGAGTAAATTTACCTGGCACAGAAGTAAGGAGAAGGAAAAAAACCCTGAAAGACAGAATGAAATGGGGGGGGGGGCATTTTCTAAGAAAAGAGGCCAGGAAGTCTTATAGAGACTCATATCAGGAGCCTTACAATAACTTCTGTCCAACCAAATCAAAGTTAAAACTGGACTCATATTTTTCTTAGAAGGAACACCATACTTTCATAGGCATATGCTTAATGAAATACATACACTGCATTTTAGCTTGAGAGAGCATTGTGCTCAACTAGGCTTTTGCAGCAGAAACATTAGGTTAACTTCGCAGCACATTCTGAAATAGACTGGAAACACGGATGTAGACTCACAAACTCAAAAGTTGCAGCAAAATCACCCTCCTCACTTAAACTATAGAGGGAAGAGGTGGAGTAATTCTTTCAGAACACAAGTAGCACGTATACAGGATTTTACCACTTGGGAGGAAAACTCTCTTTTAGAGCCTCTCTCAAATAACAAACATTTGCACACTTCATTCTCCATTTTGTCTTGTTTAAGATTGATAAGGCTCAACATGGCTTCCTTAGATTTAGAATTTGGAGCAAGCTTGCATTTTTATTTTAGATGGCACATTTAAGATAAGCAGCTGCTGGATGTTACCTAAGTACAATTTAAACACAGGAAAAACGTTTCTTAAACACAAATTAAAGGGGACTGTCAGAGTCCAGGCGGGAAGTAAGCACCAATTGGGCTTCTTTCACGCCAGGGGCCTGAGGACTATTTTTCTTTTGATTGAGGTGCACCCATTTTAAGAATTTTAATAGCGCCAGCTTTTACTTTTATACTGCAGTCGGGGTTTTATCCCCACTTTTCAGGAAACACAATAAATAACCCACAGTAGACTCAATTTGGACAACTCCGAGAATTAGTACTGTGACACACCGCTGTTCGTCTGGCCTGACTTACTAGGCTGGTACAGCTGTTGGCCTTTCCTGGCTACTAAGCTAACAGTGCGGTCAGCGATCTCAAACCCCCCCTTTGGTCATTTCTCAGCCAGGGAGCCCACAGCAACCTCCTGCCTCTTACAATCTAACCTGAGAGTTCCCTACTGGACGCTTGCGTAGCGCAGTGCCAGATTGGGACTCAGAAATGACAAAGAAGGAAAGGAATCAGGTGCCCTTGCTTTCTCTGCTCACAGGTCATCTCTAACAAAGATTGCCATGGCAGAGGTGCGGCTGCACCTGGGAGTTATAGTTTCAGTACAGAAGAAAAAGCACGACCTTTTTCTGGGCACCCTCCGAGCGACTAGGTCGGCAAATAGAATTAAGTGAAAGAAGTGACTGTAGAAGGGAAATGAAAGAAGTCACACACAACCTTTGCCTGGCCATACTCCAAAGGGCTAGGGCTGGTGTTGAGATCGAGGGGACAGAAAGGAGGAGAAGGCAATTTTTAAGGCTTAGATGAGGAAAAAAGTAGAAAGTTTAGATTTGAAGGGAAAAGGAAGAGTTAAAGAATTTTGGTTGCTGTGGTTTAGAGAACCCAACCCACTCCCCGTGTTTCCTACTTAATACTCACTTCCGCATGCGCTGTTCCTGGTGATCCCGCGATCTCTTGACTGGTTGTTTAAGGCCAGCCTGATCAAGTGTTGCTTCCTCTGGTTAGCCCCGCTGAAACCTCCAGTTATTTCCAGACCCTGGGATCGATGGAGGACTGGTTATTCCTCCTGGGAAACTGCCTGGTGCGCGCTGGATAACCAGTCCTTCCTTGCTTCCAGAATCCGGGTAACCAAAAGTCCGAGCGTGGTCGCCATCTGTTGTAATTAAAAATATGCCCTTTTCCCTTATGGGGTATCCAAGAGCCCATATAGAGTCCTTACATAGGTTCCCTATTGGTAGGAGAAAATAACATGCCAAGCAGAGAATATTGAGAAGCACGAGATTGTTTACATTACCGTCAAATTAGAGAAGTATTTAACATGGACAAAAAAATAGGCTTCCAGGTGGAAAAATCGAAACTAGAAACAGAATTGTTAGAACCTAAAACTAAGGTACTTTCAAGAATGTACAACTTGCTGTTAAAATGGAACACTCAGGATGAAACGGTCAAATCAGCTATGATAAAATGGGCGCAAGACATTGGCTATAATATTATGTTTGCTGACTGGGAACGGTTATGGACCACTGGTGTGAAATTTACGGCATGTAATGCCTTAAAAGAAAGTATTATGAAAATGATATACAGGTGGTACATGACCCCAGTCAAGCTTGCAAAAGTATATCATTTGCCTGACAATAAATGCTGGAAATGTAAGGAAACTGAGGGAACATTCTTTCACCTCTGGTGGACGTGCCCAAAGGTCAAGGCTTTCTGGGAAATGATCTATAATGAACTGAAAAAGGTATTTAAATATACCTTCCCTAAGAAACCAGAGGCCTTCCTCTTGGGCATTGTCGGCCAAATGGTGTTAAAGAAGGACAGAACGTTCTTTATGTATGCAACAACAGCAGCAAGAATTCTTATCGCAAAGCACTGGAAGACACAAGATTTGCCCACTCTGGAAGAATGGCAGATGCAAGTGATAGACTACATGAAATTGGCAGAAATGACTGGCAGAATCCGAGACCTGGGAGAAGAGTTAGTGGAAGAGGATTGGAAGAAATTTAAAGACTAATTACAAAAACATTGCAAAATGACTGAATGTTAAAATGATGCAGGATATAAAGATAATATGGCATTAGTGATAAAGCTGAAAGGAATATGTAAAAGTACTTTATAAGAAATAAGGGTGAAAAAAGTTAGAATAACATTATGTCAGAACTAAACGAAATGATATGAAGGGAAAAACTGGTGACATAATAGTTGAAATGTATAATATATAATAAGATTCAAAAGAGGGCAAGATATTGCTGAATATGATTTTGTAAAAGAGAAACAGAAAAGGGAGATGTGAGGAAGTCAGGAAAGAGGGTTATGAAGGTAACAAGCTAGAAACAGGATTTTTATGTTTTTCTTTTCTTTTGTATTTCTATGTATTTTCTTTTGTACTTTTTATGTCTGTGAAATCTGTTTAATTGTTCAAAAATTTCAATAAATATCTTTTTTTAAAAAAGAGAATATTGAGAAGCAAAGCAGCTAGTAAGCTTGATCTTTATTGATCTGTTGCAACAGGGTGCTCCCCTCACACAGCAGGAAAGGAGGAGGACCCAGAAAAATAGTGTGCATACCCTTATAAAGACTTTTGAAATTCCACCCTGTAGATGAAGACCACCCCCAGAAACATCATACATACATGACAGAAAAAGGCAGTCTAAGGGACTTCCGGGATAGCGCGAACGGGTAATGGCGGATTCCCTCCGAGCTTCGGAGGGAATCGGCTCCGTTGAGGACGGGTCTTGCCGTGCCGGCGACACGGGGACCCTTAAAAACCGCAGGCGCGGAAGCCTGCGGACTTGGTGACTCGGTGGGCACCCTAAGCGCCCTCCCCGACCCGCGAAGAGCCTTTTTAAAGGCTGCGGAGTGGACTGGGGAGCGGCGTGGTGCTGAGAGTCCATCGCTACCTCGGCGGAGCGAAGCCGCGAGCCATGACCGAAGAGCGCTATCTTTCTTCCTGAAATTGGACTGGAAAATGTAACCCGTGAGTAGAAGGAAATTTCGGCACTAAAAGATTTTATCCTTGAATTTAAGTACGATCGGGGGGACGTGTTAAAAAGGAAGTCCACACTCCCCCCCCCCACTAAAGGACTTAAAGCAAAGAGAGGACCACTAGGTCGGAAAAGACGCTGATGTTTAAATAGATAACT